ATACATATTATGTACAGTTATTGCATGCGTTAGTGTTCGTGCACAATTACCATTCGACCATATAAAAACGCGATCAGGCGCATGAAAGGTATACACCATAGAGCAAGTGTGTTGATCTAGCGGTGGATCATTTTGCATGTTGCAGGCTCATTGTCGATCGACTTCTCAATTTAAGACCAGATTCTGTCCACTCGGCCATAGTGAAAATGATGCAAATATTATGGGAAGGGGTAATTGTACCCCATCTGATTGCTGCTTGCCAACAGCAGACCTAAGAACCAGGAATGTCGGAACCTGAACAAAGGCGACTTTTAATTTGCGATGCACACACCAAAACACTAAACCTGTTCAGAGGCTCGAAAATGAGCCTCTCGAAGTGACGGTTTTACATGGGGTTGTCGTATTTGACGTTCCACAAAGAATAACCTTGTCGTTATTATGGCAAGTACCACCTTGAATGTCAAATTGTTGATCTGTATGTATTAAAATACTAAAGAACCAAATCTCGTAAATGGGAAAAATCTTGGTTCCGACGTGAAGTATGATACATATAGACGTACTATAACAGTGCAAACGAAAAATTGAATCTTCATCAAAATGTTCCATCGAAATATATATCACGCTGCATCGGTATGCGAGGCTTGAGTGTAAACCGTTTTCCCCCCAGAACTGATGAAAGAGGCTTGTAAGATGAATGCGCTTAATATGGCATAAATTACTTTACCCTTGTTAAATAGCCCATACACAAGCGATTCAGCTGGAAAGAGTATGTATTGTTCTTTGAAATGTCGGTAACTGGTTCCGGTTCATGACTAATAGGGATTTCGATGAATGCCTTTATAAAATCAAATATAGCCCATATCAAATGGAGATTAATAATTGTCTCTTATGAACTATTAATAACTATAAAGTTAATACTAAAAGATTGCTTAATACGATAATTATGATGGTGACGACAATGGGAGGCTTCTAGTAATTATATCCGAGTTTAACGTCAAGCTCGGTTTTTCTAGGTTATACAAAAGTATGAGACGAGACGAGTGACCTTGTGACTTCGAAAATGCTTCCAATGTGTCGACATGTTGCATCCCTGAGTATTAAAATTCAGTTCAATTGTTTGCCCATTAAAGGCAAAGAAGATGTTAATACATAATATCATAAAATAGGCAAGAAGGTTGAACAGAAAGATCCTCGATTGCGTGTCGCACAAATAACGTCACGAGGCGACAGACTGGCTAGGGTCCAGTATCTCGCATCCCTCCCCCAGATACGAGACGCAAGACCCCGTCCGTACGCTAGCCCCGTTACAACATATAGTCCAGTATAGCGTAATTAAGATGTAGATATCGCATTATTCAACATGCATACATAACATGGGCGTACACTGCTCCGATGATAAGTGAAATGAAGCCAAATTAAACAACAGCGGCAACAACAATAACATCAATATTAGAAGCAAAAACAACCCTTACAGAACAAAAATAGTTCTTCAAAGACAATGAAGAAAAGGAGTTTTATTTGCTACTACTGCCACCGAACAATTCAGTAATATGTAGCAGTCGAAGTGGTACTAGTAGTAGTTGGCGCATTTTTGCTCGCATAATAACAACGTACCAATGATGGTTCCAATAGCTACCCGGAAAAGATGCTATGATTATGTCTAATGGTATGATATGACGAAATTACATTTCGAGTGTTACGTCTGGTACTGCCGTTAAGAATTATTGCTTCTTACGGAATGGCGCTATGGCTACCGCTAAAACTGCTCACAACCGTTTAAAACAATTCTGTTAAAGACGACATGACGGATTCTCCACTTGAATGTAGGATGTCTGTTGTATGAGCCTTCGACAATAAGGACACACGCACATGTCACATGCAGGCGAAAGGTATCCACGCTGCGAGGATGAATGCTAATAAAAACAGTTTACAGGAAATTAAGATACGTCAGGATGCCCCAACGAGGACAACACTATTCGTCTCTTGAAATAACGCCTGCGTCTTAGCTTATATCTCCAGTATTATTTGATTTGGAAAACATCCCATATAAATATAGCTATTACTTCCAATGGCAATGAATGATCAATAATAAAAATGTCCTTATTGAAAACGAAAGGAAAACAGAATAGATTATCCATGGGAGGACGAATTACAATTATTGACCAGACAACTGGAGTAATTTTTAGGCACATCATACAACAATACTACGGACAGGCATACCCGTGTGTAGCGGTTAAAATGATGATGATCATAACTATCGTGATGATGAGATGATGCGCATCTAGAAAACGACCGAAGCAAGCATAACCCTCCCTTTCTCCTCCTCCTTGTCTATATATATATATATATATATATAGGCGTCTCCCTGTGGTAGCCTCTGTTTGGCCTATAGCTTGTATGAACGAATATATCTCTATAGTATATTATACAGATATAATAAACTTTGGTCGTGCATATTCTCTAACTCTCCTTGTTAATTCTAAAACAGCGCACATACAAAGGAACACGCCTTTATACATAATAAGATAACCTACAGTAACCTACAGAAGTCAACACATGACAGAACAAGTCTTGCTTGCTTAGCCATATATATATATATATGTGTATGTGTGTACGGCTAAACGGAAATGGAACAATATACAAACACACACACACCAGACAAACGCCGAGTAAAACAGAAGTCATTTTAACAGACATCATAGTAATGCCATGGAGTCGTCTTTGAGTACCTTGTCGGTGTATATACGTATAAGTAAATAAAAATAATTATGATAATGATACAACAAAAAATAATAGCTAGGTTATAATATGACCGAGACAGTAACACCTGCTTGCGAGTAACAAACAAGAAGAGACGACAAGTAAACAAAGTTGATGACAAGTTTTAAGTAATGGTTAATGATTTTTTGATTCCTTCGTCGCCACCTATTCTTTTTGGTTTGTTATCGCATGTCTTCCTGATGAACAACTTTATATTCTTGAACAACGATCGCAATGCGATTATTGCATAACGGTGAAGGATTATATCAGCGAATTTGCTGTGTGCGACGTGGGCAGCGGCGACTGTGTGCGTGGTGACCTAAACAACAACAACAGCAACAGAAACAATGTCAACCCCAGTAATCGTGATCATGACAATAACGGTGTAGCAAACCAAGAAATCAATCGGTTGGAACTTTTAGAAGAAGCTCTTAAAGAAAGTATCGCGCTAACCGTTCAAGCAGAGCTGCAGGTCCGCCTCAAAGAGGAAGCTCTTACTATGGCAAACAGCAAGGTAATTATTAGCATACATAATAATAATAATAATATTAATTGTATAATACTTGACATAGCCATTAAACAACATGTAGCTTTAGTTTACTTGGACTGACATCAGTTATTAGGATACTGCAAGTGAATCCTGCGGACCCAACTCGATGAATTAGTTAGGCTAGAATGATTTTTCAATGTGTTGGGGCTGCTCTAAGAATCTCTGGACAGCTATATATCTTCCATTCTCGTTTTCATGTTTAATATAGTAAATGCTTGCCCATCAGTGATCCTCTTCGGGATATAGAAAGCGCCGTAATCACATAGATTTAAATCGAGAGAATGGACAGTTTGAAGCAAACGTTGGATCCTTTTTTGCTAAATTTAGGAAGTAGTTGACGTATAGCAATAGAATCTGGCGTTGTTATGAGGTAGCCAAACCACGCACCTTCAATTGCCGTGTTAACGGTCCATAAGCCCCTCGAGGAACTGGAGACAGCTGGTGTACACTCATTGTTTATTTCCGCCTATAATTTCATAGAACCACTGCAAATATCACCATTTTACATCCGAATCGACTTGACACCGCCACCGAACTCGAGTTCCCTTCAGGGCCACGCCACGACCTGGTTCCCCTGGCTGACGCTAGAGGTTGAACTATGCTTCATTTATGGCGACCCTACGCTCCAGGCAGGTTTTCTGCGGATAAGAGTTTTGCAGATCACACGTGAATTATGTCATTCGCATTTCAGACTGGCTTAAGAATTAATGCACAGGGGCTCCAATTTTTATTCAGTGTCTACATTTTAAGTGTTTAAGTTTAAGTATGTCACACGTTACAAGTGAAATACCAGTTTTGTCTAACAAGGCCCACAGGCCTCAAGCTCCTCTGTTTGAAAAGCATCCTCGATTGCGGCAATGAATTTTGTCCTTCGGATCCCGACATCTGGTCACCACTTTCGCTTAAAGCCTCATTGCCTAGCGTCTTCCCCAATCATTGATGAATTTTTGCAACGCTGTAGAGCTTTTAAAAGTGAGGTTAGAAGGTTCTTCCTTCTGTGTCATTTTTTTCCGGAGTAAATTCAACCGTTCTTTACTCACGAATTTCTAGAAAAGTAAAATATTAATTAACCTAATTTAATCTGCTAGTGGCGCCCAGTTTAAAAGTTATTCGATCTCAACGTGTGCCGAATTTGACTGTGACAGCCAAATATTGTATAAGTATGTGTTTCTAGTGTGCAATGTATCACTTTTTTGCAGTAATGTAGCTGTAACACTATAACGGCGTACACTTGTCTGCCTACCTGCTCATCAACGTAGTAATATATAAAGATGCATATTAGGTTGAAGCTTTGTTCAATAGCACACTGCAAATCCTTTGTATCAGATCCTCGCGCTTGAATCGGCCCTGGCGTCGCCGACATTCCAGTGTATGGAGTGCCCGAATCTACGGAAGCAGATCAGGGCCGTTGGGCGAACTCTAACGCTATTGCGAGAGCAGCGTAATAAACATCTTGAAGACATCTTTGATCTCAAGTGAGCCACCTTTGCTTTGACAGATAGATAGCCAGGTACTGACAAAAGCTAAGTAAGAAATAATAATAACATTAATAATTAAAATAATAATAAGAGCCAGTCATAAATGATATTTTCCAAGCCATATTTACAGAGTTAATTGCTAAAGGGCTTTTCGTCTAGCCGTGAGTTATCGGAACAGCTCGTGCAGAGTAACAGTAATATCAATAGTATTTCTGTAAATGCACTTCAATTATTAATCTAAAAATGATAAGCGTTTGGTGGAGATGTACAGTCTAGCGAATTCTTCAATTTTATGTCTATTAGAACATCCACTGAATGAACTGATGGTTAACCCATATAGAATGGAGGCGTTCTCTACGGCCTTAAGTGAGATCGACGAGAAGGCAGCAAGACTCGAGATGTCATCACGTGCCGAAGACAAACAACTGCTAAGCGGGTTGCGACAGAAGCGTGATGCATTGCGCAGGCGAATTGCTCAGGAAAACGAGCGTCGAGTCGGAATGCTCGCCAAGCTAGATAAAGAGGCTGCCTTAAGGGACGTGGAAACCGCAGCTGGTCAAGTAAATACCGAACCTGCGAACGAGCAGCCGGGTACTGCATACTCTGCCAAAACGACAGCGAGATCCATTGTACGTGATAATAAGGGAGGTTATTTTGCTTAAAATATAAAGTACAACAAATAAAACCATTACTAAGTCTGAAACTCACGCTGTATCTCACCAGCATCTCAAAATTCGGTAGCATAAAACTTCGACCCTTTCTACACTCATTCGATCGTGACTGACATATTATGATTCCAATGGTAACATGTGTCTAACTGCGAGCAAAAATAAGATAGTGCTTCGCGATCAATCAATTTAAGTTTACAAATGTAGCTCTAGGCCATTTTAAAAAAGCGCTGAATTACTTCTTTACAGAACTATCAATTTCAACCCCAGTCGGGTCTGATCTGGCCTTCATCCTGTGATAAAAAGATGTCAAGTGAAGAATATCAGCCAGCGAATGAAATCAGATCACAACTGGGCGCTGAAACAACTGCACACGGATCCCTTTGGCAAAGTTATTCTCGTCCAACATCTCCAACGGGCTGGCTTCGACGACAAGAACACATCACAAGAGCGATAACGTCATCACCATCATCATTGGTAGGGGGCGCCGGGGCACAAGGGGCATCGCTATCGAGCAGTGAAAGTCGCTCGGGAGAAGAGACCTCTGTCTAGAGAGGATGCCACCAACGCGATCAATAACTCGGGATCAACTCTTGATCAATTCTTGAATTATCTTCACTTATTCGATTCTCTAACATCATCAACAATGAGAAAAATGATGAAAATACTGAAGTCATTCAGAACGTCGACCAAAACAATAGCTACTTAAGTTGAACTACTGCAACAAACATGCGAACAGCCCTGGCGACGACAACCAATAATTCATATGGAAGACGTGTAAGATGATGCAATTCATAAACAAGTCGTGTATTGTAGAGAAGTATGGCAGAGATGAAGAACTTCACAAACCGTTTCTGTGTTTGTCCATCGTTTCTACCAGGACAGGTGCGTCTGATGGTATCTATGTAATTTAGAACAATAACAGTAACGACTACTGTAAAGGTTGCGACGAGTGCACGAACTAGATAAGACTTTTCAAATTTTAAAGCTTCTTCAGTTCAGTGTAACAGCTTTATCGGTGTCATAATAATCATCATTGATGTCAGGGTCGACGTCATCAATGGCTGCCATATAGGCCTTGAAAACGACAACGACCATAATCGTGCATAGATATATTTAATTGCAATGCGGCTTTCACAGGTAGCTCCCGGCTAAAAAATATTTTAGTAGCGGATTATATTGATAAGATCGTAGATCTCTCTGATACTTATCAAAGCTATATTTTATTGTAATAGGTTTTTCTGCGAAGGTCCACAATACGCAGTCAGTCGGCGTATCAGCTTCAATCACATAGCAGTGAAGAAGGGAGTTAATAATGAAGTAATAACAATACCAAATACCGAAGTCGAAGCCGAAATAGCACAACGCAACAGAAGATGAGGTAATGTTGTCCTCAGAGCAGTTAATATCATGACATTTAATAACAATAATAATAGTTACCTAAATAAATCCACCTCAATAATAGCACTAATCATCGAAAAAATGTGACATGTGTAAAACTAACAATATTCGTAGTAACTATGAAACGCTGATCTTTCAGTTTTCTGAGTTTGATAACAATAAAAGCTAGTAATAAACAGCAGTAGCAGCAGTAGCAGGATAGCGATAAGCCTCTTAGACACATATACTATTTATCGAACAAGCCCCAGCGCAGAACGATCCTTAAATATGGCCGAATTTAAAACAGGCTTTTGTTTGAAGGAAATGTCAAGATGTATAATGTTAGGTTTGGGTAACTAGGTGTAATTAACATCATGTGAATATATCGCATACGATCCCAATTGCGGTGATAACTGGTACCAGAAAATTAAAGATACTTCCTTTTATTCTGTTAATACATAATATATGATATAAAAACAACAAGAATTCCTGGATAAAAACAACAATATGGCTGAATGGTACGATGATTTAAATAAATGTAGTCACGCTGCAATGCTTACCCTGATGACTAAACAAGCATGCGAGTGTAGTGTCATTATAGTATGACATACACATTGCAAAGGGTATGCAAATATAATAATAATGCTTAAAAAGCAGTACAACTATAGCAGAAGCAACAACAAGATGAATATTATCGTAAGCGAGTGATTACTATAATTAAAGACAAAAAGATCACACAGAGAACGGTGGAGAAATACGGTGTGCATCCTAAAACAAACAACAAATTAAAAAAACTACCAAACAGGCACACATACACACACACTAGACTAGAATAAAGTAATATAGAAACCAGGCTAGGTCTAAGCACCCTCGAAAAGACCCAAAAAGCCTGCTACACATTACTCATTTGGGCGGAGATCTCATTCAGTGATAATGACTGAGGCAAAAGAAACCGTTTCAGTTGTTGTGAAGTGATGGGAAAGCAGTGTGGCACGAACTATCGGCATACGGTCATTTTAGCAATAGTAACAGTACTAATACCAACAATTTCGATGATGATATTGATCGCCGGGTGGCATCATCAATCAACCATCACAGAAACAAAATGACTGTCAAAATGTCCGTAGTAGTGTTGGTGACCGCACAGACCGATATAGGCTCGATAAGACCATCAAGACATTAAGTAAAAATACATATATAGGTATATGCATATAAAAATTATATATATATATATATATATATATATATATATATATATATATATCTACGTTGGTCAGTCTTAATAATAAGTGTATGATGAAGGAAACTATAATGATTATAGCTACATGATGGGCTGATCGATTAATTCGTGAAATTTCATGCGGCTTCGGTAAACCAGGATAGTGACAAACATCGATGCAAATCCAATTAAAGAACCCGATTGGAAACCGTGATTTCTGAAATCCTTTGGTCAGATCTCGTAAAATATCATCAGCTGTCTCTATTCGTTCACGGTAATAATTTCGGCTTGCTATGTATTTAACACACTACAAACATGCGTGCATACATGTACACAGGCCGAAACATTCAAACACGTTAATAGTAATAATAATGCGAAGATTGACAACTCGTAGATGTAAATAGTATTATGCACGACTAAGCATATACACAAGCAGACGTTTACTCAACATGGAATATAGCAGTAATTGCAAAAAAGCGTAACTTACATCGCGCAGCTCCGCTTACGCAAAGACCGTCAAAAAGGACGGAGCACGAGGCTCATGCTATTGTATCAGCCTACCTAGGGGAATAAAAACCAGAGAGATTATTCCTTAAATGTCCGGCTATAATTACACAAAATAGAATATATAATAAATGACATGAAGATATACACAGTAATACAGTGATAGTGAAGCGCAACGGAAAATGTGAGATCGCGTTTAATTTTTAAAACTGTTTGTCCAATTTTTGAAGAAGGGAACTGAGATCAAACAAAGCAAAAACAAGACAAACACGCAGAATGTATTACAAAACCATGTTGAGTAGTTTTCGGTGAGAGTCAATTAACAGCAGCAACGCATTAGCTCTAAAAGGAGAAATAAGCAAAACCTTTCTATTACTTTTAGCGGCCAGCGACTTCAAGATATTCTAGCTCTTATAGAACAAACTAACATTAGCGCGAAGAGTGGAGCGACGAAAGTCAACAAATAAACAAAGCAGATACAAAGGAAATAGGTCATCGAAAATTTACACAAAGAGCAGGAACTACGAAATTTGGTGATCTGCGCCATTGTGCGCATAAAAAAGCAGCGGTTGTTCTTTGGAAGGCGAACTTCTCCTGCACTAACGCGACGTCCTAAGGTTGCAAAATCCCGATTTTGACGCCGTTTCTATTTCTTCTGCCAGTGACATCCGCGCGGTCGCCCGTATACCCAACGTACTCTTTTTGCTCCCAAGTTTAAATTTAGTTTTTCAATTTCCTTATTTCTCTGCATTTGAAAAAGCTGCTTTTTAGTGGACAGTTCTACCAGTGGATCTTTATAGATCTTACTGATAATTCGTAAAGTGCCTAGCACGCCCTTATAATGTGCGGCTTATCGTGTCGTTTTTATAATAAAAACCGCTAAGTTCAGCCTAAGCTTGATCTCAGCCAGTTTAAACGCTATAAGTGATGTAATCACTACTTCGCTATAATAATAAGATTTACAAAGCAACTCTGATGAGCTATTGTTGTTATTGTTGTTCCTGATTCTTGCCTATTCCTGAAGAAAACTTGACTGAATTTGCGATAAGAATACAATTTTCGGTGTCTAATCAGACGATCTCCCGCACCGTTATTTACGATTGCCAACTATGCCTTACACATCAGACATCGACTATGGCAATTGTCCATTAGCTAATATTAAAAAAAAGCTAAGACTGCCAGACCTCGCGGATTGTCAGCTTGTGGCCTACTTCAGCAAACTCGTATCGTTCGAAACGCACGACCTTGATCACATGTGATGTTCGAATAAACTAAACCGTACATCTTAATAGTAGGGCATCGCATTAAACTGTAACATGAAACGACGCAAACAGATAACAACAATATGCAAATGAAAAACATAGACGTTAGTAGAAAAACAAGCAGCAATACGCGAATGTTTCTATTCCAAGGAGAATGATGACCACAGACATTTTGCATGCGAGAAACAACATGCAAATCATCTCCTAAGGCCACAGTCACCGCGTCCAGTCAATTTCCCCAAATGCTTTTAGTGCCATTTCTGCCATTCCACCCAGCAACGTCTCATTCTCATTGATCTTCATTCCCTCTACTCTGTGTCTAGCAAATTGAAGTACTGGCTAGCACGACACAATGGTGGCCATTATAAGAGAAGTTAAAAACGAACACTTTCTTTTGCCGTGTGTGCTTTTTGTGTATTCATTAATAGATTGAGATACTCATTGATAATGCTTCTATAGCGATATATTTCGCTGTTATTTAGCAAATTAACTTGTGTTTGTGAACTAAACGTATCAAATGATAATGCTAGTGTAATGATAAGCGCGCTAATGATGATAACTGTGGCGACGATGATGCTGAGGGTCATGTTGTTGCCTATTGATTACTATTAATATCACTGTTTACTTTTAGACCAGTTTTAGCCGTCTATGAATGACAGAGTAGTAAGCTTACTTGAACGATTAATTGTGCCTTGTTAATATCATTACTGCTGCACGAATTTCCACGGCTTCTTCGTTCATTGTTTTAGGTCACACGAAATAATATAGGTGTGTATGAAGTACATGTCTTAGAGCTATCATCGAAGCCAAGCATCTAGAAGTTTGCTATTGAAGCTCACTATCATGACGACTTACGCTCATCACCTTTACCTACTAATCTATTGTATCAAAATTTTTACACCCTTAAGAACTGGTGCCGACATTCGACGTCTTATACAAGCACACTGTTCATGGATTCCTAATCGCAGAAGCATATTAAATAATTCATATATTATCTTAACTGGCACCATTTGCGGACGATTAACTTGACTTGGCGTAATGCTTTTTGCCAATTGCTATACCCCTCTAGAGAACATGGTAGTCATTACGGAACAAATTTTTCTTATAATGTTATCTAGAGGTCTATGGCTCGTTTAAATTCCGAGTGCTAATCAAATCAGCTTCACTTATTCATTGCCAAGTTCAATGTTGGCAATATGACACAATGATGTGTTCCCCTTTATATAGCCTATTATCCCCGATTAAGTCTGATGATCCGTAATCGTATTGTTCGTGTGACAATAAAGGAAAGCGTTTCAATAAATCGATCTTATTTGAAGTGTGTAATGCTTCGTACCTTCAGAGCTTTCTTACTAGATCTCGTTACGTTATTGGTTGTCATTGCCCTGAGATTGAATAACCCATAACACTAGACATGTTATGAATTTGCTTGTACCGCTTGAGGCTATACTGCAGCCATTCATGAACGTATTTATCTCATTAGTGATATAGTATTGCTTTTCTTAAATAAGCGCTGCTACAAGCCAACAAAGCTTTGAAAACTTATTGTATCTAATTAATAACGTAAAAGCGGCTACTGATGCTATTACCAAACCTCAATTTACTCTTAAACGAGTAACGGTCTGATATATGGTCACCACTTTCCCCGAACTCTGCGATGATCCCCGCAAGTATATACCACGTTGGTTGTTGCGATTCTCTTGAATTAATATCACGTAAATTTTATCAGAGCCTTTTTTCGCATATTGTATCACAATTGTGTCTCGAAACTTCTTCGTGTCACCCGAACAACAACTGTACATTGAACTACTGTTGTTCACAGATACTGTATTCCCGGTAGGAATAATAACACAAACAATTTCAGATCCATATAATTTAGAAATGAATTATTATCGTTAGAAAACTTGATATACGTTTGAGATCGGTGTGTAATTCCTATTCACCAAGGGTACGCATGCACAGTAAACTGCAATGATTCTTGTGATTTTAATTGACCATAATTATCGCTCCTTACATAATACGTACATTACATATACATATTGTAATATATTATTTATATTCGGATCGCATCACTGCAAGGTGCGAATAAGTCTGACGTTTAATATAGATCGTTAGCCACGAACTGCAGACCCATATCATGACAACACGTGCATTCGGCTAGACGCATATTATGGACACATGAAGACAAACTGAAACGAGGTCGTAAGAGAAATAAACTTTATAAGTGCATTCACTCTCATAAAAGCTAAATAGATCGATTATATATACAACCAAAACGTGTGAAAAAGGCTAATGCAGTAAAACCGAAGGCCGAGATGAGAATACCAGCCCCAGCAATTAATCTTCGACCGTGACTTGCGTTTCTGAGTTGATTAAAGATGTTGTAAGCTGCTGTCACTTGTCACTTACTAATAACGATGGTATCGCCTGCCCAGACAATGAAGGAGACGAATACGAGCAATTACCGCAGTGCGCGCACATTCGAATTTAGCATTGAATTGTTGAACTCAGATATGCCCGCCATACGTATAATGGCGCAAAGTGAGGGCGAGAGGAGACAGGTGACATGAGTTACAACACCCTGTATGCTTGTATATAGAGTAACTAATATGATCTTCGTTGAAAGTAATTACTAACGATATTAATGAGAACGATGATAATAGTAATGATGCCAGGGATACAAACATTATTACTATAACATACATTAACAGGAAACGTACATTTGTGCATGCGACACCACACCAACACCGCACCTCGGCGCATGTTGACAGAACGATAAAAAGCAACAGAATACAAGACACAGGACTTTTTCAATAAGTAATAACGAAAGCAACAGTAATAATTTCGATTATGATTTTGCTATGTTTTTATCATCATTTTTATGCGATCGCGGCTAGAATCTAAGTGAAGAACGAAACATATGACTCGAAGTGGTCACGGCGAAGAAAATACGCTTGATAGTAGCGCCAACAATGTTTACACTAGGAGGAATAATTACAGTAGTAGCAATGATAATGAAACACTTATTATTTATGTAAAACACACAGACCTCACACTAACATATACCGGGTGTTGATATCCTTTGAGAAAGCAAGAGGAGCGTCCACAACCAAGATAGAAATACACAACAAACAACATTCACTTCGATAAAGAACTTCGTCGCGCAAACCTAAGCATACACACACAATGAATGTGATGCGAATAATAAAACAGAATATAGAACATTCTAAGCAAATGTGTACTACACATATATAGTATATATAGAATACAGGTATAGATGACAAAAGGTTGTTCGTCTTCAAGACATTTAGATAATTACGAACTAAATATAGAATCTAACATGCCAAGGATACATGCACGTAACGTCATTGATAAAAGAAAGTTTATGTAGTCCCGTAAAGGTGTTCGTATAATTTTTAAGTACCGTAAATGATGATAAAGCGGGCATATGATTTCACTCTAGCTACCAGTGATTTCCAAACCTTCGCGATCACACTTACTTCTTACACATACACTTACTTAAAATTAGTAATTCAGTTGAAACTAGCAGTTCATAAAGAGCTCTAGCTGAAATTTGTGTGCATTCCGTAATATTGAATGAAATAAATCGTATTTTACTGAGGTGAATAGGACCGATGAGGATAACATAATTTATTTTTTTATTATTACTAGTTTAAATGTCATCTACTTTTTTCAATAATACCAAAAATAATCTAACTGCAATAAACTGGCGAATAAAAGAAAAAGCTTAAGCTCAATATTGAACTATAGTGGTATCAGACTGTCCGGCGAATCTAGGGTAAACATCCAGGCTAAATTCTAGAGTTCAGACAGTCATCGCTCACATTAGCACAAACTAGCGGTACTTAAATGGAACGCAATCACACAAGACTTAAAATATAAAATTCCCAGGTTACACTACAAACTAAATGCTACAATAGACGCATACGCGCATATGCGGAGTAATCGATACAGACACGGTAAAAACGGAAGCAACAGAACACAACTTTTACCCATTGTTATTGTGTTGGTTAAATGAAAATAAATGGAATCGCTGCTGAGATTATGCTGACAAACATGATGACATGTGTAAAGAAGACCACAACAAGTAAGTCTACCATTAATATTATTAATTATTTAATAAAGTTCTACATTTCAAACGATCACACAAAAACGATGAAATACTGTCTTTTTATTATAATAAATAAACAATTAGCTACAAATAGCTCTATTTTCTAATATAAAACACATACCGCATCAAGTATTAGTGAAATATGGTGATTTCCAATAAAGATAAATTTATGAATCAAACGTGGACATATCATACACGCATTCAGAGAAGCCTATTTGAATTAGAGTTAACAATCTCGCGCATGGACAATCCTGTAACGATGCCGAATTCTCAATTTGTCATTGTGAAAATATACGTAGTCAGACAAACCACGACCGCATACGAAGAACAGACAAGCAAGCAAAAGTCATTAGCTATCGGTCTAACGGCTTAGACGGCTTAGCCCTTGCTTGAATATCACAGAAGTCGCTGGTTTGGGTTCTACCAAATGACATGATATATTCCGTATAGTCCGACTAATCATATACGTATGTTCCTATTTATAAATAACGAGAATATATATCCAACCCTGAAAAAGAATACCGTGTTTTATGTAGATGTTTATTAATCTAGTTGAAATGATTTAACTGAACATTGGAAAAACTACTATCATGGTATTAGAAACCGACTAAATTACCCCTCTCAGTTAGCCATCTGTTTGCGAATCTGATAATGTGTTCAATCTCAACCACGTTCTATTCGGACAGAATGTTGAAGTGCGTGCTTCAAATTATACTAGACAGACCTTCGATAATAAGTCCCTAGGCTTCTTACTGAAACATAATTTGCTCCACGTTTCACTCTGTCTTCGCAAGAGTTCGCAGGGACTGGGCTGTTTGTTTGCTCTAATTAGATTGAATGAAGGAATGTCGTCACACATGTCACGCATCCAGAGGTATTCTAATTTCTCTGCTCTTTATTCCTTCATTTCGGCGTCCTCCGAAGCGCTTTTAAGCTTGTCCTTCTTTTTAGTTTTTTCTATTTCAAGAGCTTTAACGAACTCATCCATGTTGCCCGTTGCTGCTGCAGCAGCTACATCGTCGCTCATACCGAACTGAGTCATAATCGGCCCCATTTGACCGGAAGCTAGCGCTTCTGAGAACAGGGCCACAGCTTGCTGAAACTGTGGTGATTTAACAGTTAACTTGATTTCGGTAGCAACTTCTGGATTGGAGCTTGCAGTTCCGCTGGATCCGGACAGTTCTTCGGACGCAGCGGCAATCGGTGGTAAAAACCCCTTAACCCGTGCCATTAGCTCCGAATTATTAAGTAGTGGCTCTAAGACTTCGGGCGAGGTGAGCGCACCAGAGATCGAATCCACCTTCGCTGATGACGAACCGGCAGCAGCAGCCTCCGCGTTTACCTTGTTTAGGATTTCGGCGAGATTTTGAGGTTTAATTCCGGCGCCTGTAATAACGAAACCAACACAAAAATGCCTGTTACAAAAAGTCCTCATTGCACTTCAGAATCAATTCTTTTGCGGGAAAATAGACTGTGCTTGCATACCTAGAACCTATATACATATATACATCTACCGTATCACGATGATATTCAATTTAATCAATATAACCTTTGTTAATTTCCGAGACACATACCTGGCCAAATATAAACTTAATAAATATAAAAATACATGGCAGAAAAACGGTGTAAAGAGGCGCAAGCCTTAAGTACCGAAGTGAAGCATATATGTATGCAATTTAGCAACAAATGCAGACGCTAATGTCCGTGCCAAAATTCTTGATTGTAGGAAATGCTTTTTGAGCTCTTTTGCGCGAAAGGAAACCCCCTGCCTTTGCTATTACGAATTTGTACTTTTATAGTAGATCTGGCTTCCTTTCAGTTCCAAGAATAACGAAGGAACGAGCCCGCTATTAAAAACAGCCCATTAATGTTTGTCGTCAATTTTTAACACAACAACCTCTCCCTTTCTCTCTCTCTCTCATATATATATATATATAATGATGCGTTCAAATTTTGGGAAACCATAGCGAGATGTTTCTCGTAGCAAGCATGCTCCTCTTGGTACCAGATGGAGAGACCGAGCTCTTTCTGGAACAAAACAAAGTGACTTGAAAAGCCATTTTTGATACTCCTAGGTCCTTAATACAGAAAGGCCGTGCAGATAAGCTTCAATCGTTAGTCTTTACGCTTCCTTGCGTCTCTTGAATCATTTCAATCCCTTGTGTTTTCTGAAACTAAACCTGCTATCACCTCAAAATCGTGATGGATAGCAGTCGAGAATGACACTTCTAGTACATGCAGAATAATGCATTAAAATAACTGTATCTAGACACACCCCTTTAAGGTATGAGAATTCTGAGGAAGTATGAGAAGAAGAACCCGGTAGATGTAATACACATACGATTGCCTGCAGTATATGCAGGTTAGTTTGCATAACACCGAAAGCATTTATACTGCTCCTATGAACGGTGTGATAATATAAACGCCGTGAAAAACGAACAAATACTTCTTCTAGATTAAACAGATACATCCATTCGTGTGAACTTTGCTTTTCGACTAACAGTTGCATGCTGCACAGAAATATCCATCGCTATATATTTTTTTCCAGACATTGGCATACTTATGGGTTATGAATATTATCGCTGTTATTTGATCTAGATAAGCTGAACCTTTTCCTAATGAAGGCGTCGATGGTTGTGCTGTAGGAGGGGCTGCTGTGCCGCTTCCAGTTCCGCCACCTGAAACGACCCCCGAATTTTGTACTACAGGAACATCAGTATCCATTGGCTCCTCTTGCCGCGCCGTCCTGTTGCCACCACTTCGAGAGTTCATGGCAGTTCCCAAAAGTGCAGGCAGATTTGACGTGTTACTTCCAATTCCTCCAAAGAGTTGCATCAGATCCCGTTGTGACATGCCAGAGATTATCGAATTTATGTCGTGGTCGTCAGCTAACTCGGCAATGGTTCCACTAAATGAACCGCCACTGCTTCCGCCACCTCGGGTTTGAGCTGTTGGGTCGTTAAGAAACTGGTTCACCTAAAATAGCAGAAACAACAACTGATTAATCCATCACGCTTGCAACTCCATTTTCTTATTTTGGATGTAAACAATTAGAGCCAATGAAATTTTCAATTTTTGTTTAATGGGTTTGAGTAACCTTGCATGCCAATGGTAATGAAATCACAAATCATATAAATCGATTGATTGATGGTAAAGTGATTTCGTTGAAACCGATGTCCTTACATATAGCGTATTGTTACGTCCGTTCACTGCATTAGTAAACGTTTGTAGTGTGATAAATATTACTCAGTACATCGTCCTGAATTTATGAATTTTACTGTCCAGCGCCTTTGTCGGCAAACAGTGTGATAAATATTACTCAGTACATCATCCTGAATTTATGAATTTTACTGTCCAGTGCCTTTGTCGACAAACCAAAAACAAAGTTTTTATTTGATAAACCGTTAAGTGAATGCAAGTCAACTCGAATGTCATATCTGTGGTGGAATGAAAAAAGTATAACAAACTTTACTCACAGCACGCAATGTGTTTAGAACATCCGAATCCATGGAACAATGCCTTAACACTCCTGATAATAAGGAAAACTACTCAGCGTACGGCATAAATGCGTAACGCAATAATGCTAATACTGAATGTAAAAGTGATGTCCAACCTTTGTCCGAAAGTCCTCGTCTTTCTCGTCCTTCGGCTCCTGCATCCAATAAAAGCATCGCTTATTGTTCGATTTAAATTTAAGCACGAAAACACGTCCCGTTGTACACTGGGTGACCTTTTCAAATTCAGCATCTCCTGGAAACATAATGAGGTCGTCTTCGGTTGCTCCCGTGGATCGATCCTTCCAACAGAAGTGTATAAGTGAATCCTCGGTCTGTTGAACGTACACTAGACCTATACGAAACAAAAGAGGTCGCACACAATTTTTTAAACAATCTTCGTCTATACCTCGAATTTTATTACATATAATTTACTTAGAATAAGCAAATTTATTTTAATATACTCATGTGCTTATATAATTGTATTTACCATATGCACATTTAGATCAAGTAATTAGTGAATTATAAAGTAAATAGCACATATCTAAGCTTTTTTTGTTTTTTTTTTTGTATTTTTGTGTTTTGTATTCCCTGTAAACGTACAATTTATTTATTAGTTCTTTAGCTAGTCGATTTCAACATATTAAAGTTTCTGGCAAACATGAACGATAACTGTACAAGTGTAGGGCGGGGTTACTAGATAATAGAAGAATCATTCAAAAAGTGAACAGCATTTGGGGCCTGAGTATCCCGAGCTCTTGAAACAACCCGCCTTTCGGCGAGTACTTCGTGACGTATCCCAAGCCTATGGGGCTGTATGAAGACAGACATTTAGGCCTGCAGCCATTCACTAGCGTGTGTTCTTGGAGACCGACGAAAAGCATGCTGATACTACAGTTCTGAATGAAACTTGAAGAAAAATACTTTATTCGAACTCCATCAAACAGTTTCTGCTGAGTTCGCCCCTTAAAGGTCTATCGTTTTTTTCGTTCATTTCGCTTCGACGTGGAGTAGATAGGTTTAGTTTTAACGGAGAAAGTGTTTTTTTTTTGTCGCAGTGTAAACAATTCGTTAATCGTTGACAGTACAAGTCCGAGTAGTAGTTTGCTGTAGTTTAATGCACAACTCCTTTTCAATGCCACCCACCATGTAGCATAATTTTATTTGCCATAGATTGTGAAGCTTTTTTTCACTTTGGCCATGATTTTTTTTCGCTCGTCGTTGTACATAATCAATTTTTCATCACCTGAGACCATGCGGTTTGAAAATGGCTTCATTCCGTTGCGTGTCTGTAGAGCTTCGAAGATAGAAGTATGGTTAAATATATTTTTTTGCGTCAAGTGGCGTGGCGCTGAACAATTTTTTTTTCGTAGCTACCTATCTTTGAATAGTTTAAAACTGTCTAGTGGCAGATGCCTAGTTCTTCGGCTATGACATAGCTACCGACGTGTCGGCCTTGCCAAACCTTCGCAATAATTTCATCAATTTTTTTCGCAGTCTACGAGTACCCTTTACGTTTCTGCCACTTCTGATAATGTCTCTTAACTGATACGCGGCACAATGTTTTGTGAGCCTAGGCAACATATGTCCTAGTCACAATAAAACTGCAAATTATAGCGATTTTTTGCAAAAAATTCACTCTTTCAAAAAAGCTTTATTTTACGGCTGAATACATCAGCTACTTTTAATACATTCGCTACTGTAAGTCTCAGTTTACAAACGAATTAACGCCACCTGATGCGATAACAGTATCCATCTGTCTAGCTAGAAAAATCGTCAATACGTTTTTGACCATTCAATATGATCCGTCTGCCATAGTCTCACATGAGGCTTTGCAACTTATCGTAAAAGTTTAATAACGGCAGAATAATTTAAGAGGTGTGGAAAAACAGTAACAATGTGCACCCCGCTCTACAAAGCCGACTTGCCCGTATTACGGCTGGTATAAATAATATGCAGATGATTCTTTTTTTTTCAAGAACAACTACATTTGAACATACGACATGTGGTACGACGATTTCTTAGTATATATATATATAACTTGATTGATATATATACGCACGCATTTTCACTAAGCTGAAGCTTCTGAATTTTTTGAATTCTGACGTTACTTATTTCTGCCAATTACTTATTAATTAGAACTAGCATCGATAGCATCTAATTTTGTTATGCTCGAACGCAATGGCCCATATAGTCCACTTATTCCACCCCATATAGGTCCTAGAATGGTTACATTATATATTTTTATAGATATTTTATAGAGACTTATTAAACGTAACATGCTTTCAGTTTAACTTCATAATATGACTTTAGTATAGGCAAAACGGTGCTAGAGAAGCAAGCTAATTGTTTCGCTTCTCTGTCGTGTAATGTAAGTTCTATGAAATGCAAAGGTCGTTGTTTCAAACGAAAGAAATTCTTGACGTTGGTTTACTATTCACCCAAACTGACTATTACACTTTACAGAGAAAAACAACACTTCTCTCTATGAAAAAGATGTATTTGCTTAACAGAGTACGAGTTCCACATTGCCCTTCTGATGGCCGCACAAGTATGTCCAATGGGTGCTCTGAATGGGTGTTTTGGGTTGGACAAACCTGCGTTTAGTAAGTATACGGATGACGATATCACTATCGAACAATATGTAGATATAAGGACCGTTTTGAGTCGCTTGTACTATGTTAAAGCGAAACCTGAATTATATAACTTTTACTTTGCAATCGAAAATCTCCTATTTGTAATCTACAACTACCGAAAGCTATTTGCAAGATACAGCTAACGGATTGTGTTCCGCTAATGACTGAACCGGTAAGGATGCTGGTGTCACAAACCAGTCTCACATAAGTCGTGTTCGAATCTGTACATCCGCGTAAAGAGGTTCTTTCGGAGATCTTTCTGACAAGCAAATATCTATCAAGAAAAACTACACAGCGAGGTTGACGGCCATGACTTGCGAAGTTAGATCGTTAATGGCTTTCAGCTCGGAAGGGAAAAATATTTTCCATAGGACAAAATACTCCGATATACCGATAATAATAATAATAATACTAATACTAATAATAATGCTAGAGAGATACAAGGAAGCTGCATGGCTGGAACGTTGAGCACGAATTTAACAGATTTCGTAGTCATTGCTAAAAGATTACTGAAGTGAAATCATAGCTTCGCTTTCAACATTCAGGCATTCGACAATCAAATGTTAGCCAAGACCACTGCGTCTTAAGATGTGCCTCTAATTGTTTCAATAATAAAAGAAGAATACATGTTAGTCAGATGATTGCGGTTAAGTATCTTACCTTTGCGCTTATCGGGAGTAACAAGTTTCCCTTTTTGGGTACATTTCCCAGCCCTAAATTCTACGAGGTACTTAGTTTGGGATGAGCTACTGCCCTGCGTCCCGAAGAGAAGTCGTTGGGTCATTTCGATAGTATTCGATTCTGTGGTACAAAGAGTACGTATCGATGACACTCGATACAGTTATTTGTCGTTCGACGAGAAAAAAGATAGCACTCGTTTGTTGAAAAATTACAACCAGTCAAACTGCTGACTAACATCAAGGTTCGGCAAATAACGTAAACACACTAAAATCTGACTCGGATCAGTGGCGTCGTACAGCACACACAGCGTCTATAGCGCATGTCTGGGTTGGGATTGTTTTACTCCCTGTTGCGAAAAATTGATTTAGGAAATAAGCAAAATTACTAAGTAGCGTTTTACATGGAAACAGTTATGTCATACACACAAGCAACTGCCTGACCAACAACAGCCAATTCAATTGCTATGTGCGCAGCCTTTCACAAAAAGCAATAGTTAATTACAAGAAGCCCCCTCTTCTCTTCTAGGCTACAGCTGTCGATGCATTTAAAGAGCTGATAATGCAAATGGATAGCGTTGACAAAGTGCTCGTTATAGCGTCTGACTATTTCATGAGCATTCAGATCTTCTTATATTGGCAGCCGTGTCTAATGTATAAAGACGAGGAATGTTATACTAGTAATGCAGAAATCACCGCATTATCACGCATCGAGCCTGAATTAATTCAGCTCATATTTGGCTTGCGAATGGGCTTCGAATCAAACGAGATAAACGAAAATAATTCTATAATCAGTTAAGCTGAGGCTAAAAATTGCGGCAAACCCGCCGTACGTATATATAGATCATATGTCAGTTATACACGGTACTGCGTTTAAATCCTCAGCAACCCAAGCGACTACTTATTTATACACGATTGTCACGTAAACGTTTAGTGAACGTCCCGATGTACACGATGAGTACGTGATAAAGCTGTGCGATTACGAAGCCGAACGCACGTGTTCTCCATAGCATATATCGGAAAACTGAGAATCGGCCAATGACCAAGGAGACCATATAGAAAAAGTGAATCTGCCTATTATTAGCAATTAGTTGCGTGTGTGAGTCGTTCTATAACATACTGCTAATTGTAGAGCCCATTTGTGAAACTTCAGCATTTACAGCTTTGTTTTTTAGCGTAATCCTGCGTGTAACAAAGTGAAGGGTATCTCTTGCTCTATTTGGTTACCCAAGGTAAAGCTGACGACAGCAGCATTGTACAATAGTTTAGTTTGACTACATTCATATTAGGCATTTTACATAAGATTATTTTCTAATCCAGACAAGACAGGATTCTATTCTATGTGAAATGAATGGCTGAATTCGTCAAGGGTATCGAGGGGCAAAAATCCAAATAGGCAATCAATTTGATGGTCACCGAGGGTATGTTACATTATGCTACATATAAGTTATGTCAGAGTCCAAATAAACGACCTATGGAAACATTTATCAAAATGTCACGCTTTCGAATTGCACTGTTCGTGTCTTTAACTTAACATAGCAATGCAACTGCTTAAAAATCTTCTAGTATTCTATTGTCATATAGTATTTATATAATACAGAGTGCAGCGTTTTTGTAGCTGTGTTGCTGCGTTTAAGGCTGTTCGAAACGAACGAAAAACTTGTTCAAAATCTACTGGAACGTTCCATGCAAGTTGTACGATAAATTTCGAATGCGCATACACGTTTATCCTCATTACAAAGGAGAAAATCGGCCCATTTGACGTTCGGTATTTTCTCTGTTGTATTAATCAAAGGAAGTAATTGGCCAACACTTTGGAAATATGCGAGAAGCAGGTAAATATTCTAGGCGCACGAATGGCGCTAAATACAGCAACCTGCAATAGTGTATATGTCAGGACGTGTGGCTAGTCTTATCTTCGACAAGGTAAATCCATTTTGTCAAAGCCTGATCTTTAAAAGTGTTGGATGCTTTTGACACGGGATAAACAATTGGGAAACATTAATTCGAGCATCGTGAAACATATGTTTTATATATATGCAAACTAGGGCTATGCAGACCACAAAGTTAAATACTTTATTAGCTGCCTACCGGGTAACGAAACTATAATACACAGATGCATCTTCTCAGGACACAATAAACTCAAAAAATCGTTTGATTTCGCGTCTCATTATTATCCGGTAGTAGATACCGTCTGAGTGCCCAAACACGCTACGAAAAGTCTGGTGTGTAGTCTTGCAGACTGTGATTCGCTTGCCCATCTTCGTTTTGGTAGGTCATGTTCCATAGGCTTTATTCGTAAGCTTTTCTTCACAGACGCATTAAGTCTCTAACAGCTGACGGCTCGTGCGTGATCAGGTTCACCTAACTATAATTGAAATTGGGTCAGTTGTTCTTTTGATAAGCGAATATGCTATAACAATCATTTAGGTCATCACCTAAAGTCACCGCTTGTTATGTGTTAATAAATATTATTGGCATTCAAAATTCTGGACCATATTTTTCGAACAACCGTTTATTTTGTGCTCCCAGCGATAGACAAATGTCGTTATTACATATTTTGTAATTTCGTATAACATATGTATATTTTCGTTATTATCAATTGATTGGCGAGTTATGCCTACTCGAACGCTATTTGTTTCGGATCCTAGATCCACAGGTACAAGCCTATATTTCACGCGACTTATGTAGACGCTCGATAAACTGAGCAAACGTTTATTTACCTTGATCCTACGATCGAAACTTTTCGATAAGGTACACAATAGTTGGTCATTCTACTTGCGCAGGATTAGTTGGTTTGACAAGTTATTTATATATATATATGAGAAACATTAGTACTTGTAAAAACCCTAGAGCGAAGGAAGCGTCACCTGAGGCGCAACTGTGGTTTTAAATATTGTTTTCATTTTTAACTGTAATTTCTAACAACGTCATTCCAATGTACTGTGAATATAACCACCAAGTATAATGCAGATAGACAAGATGAAATGGTGAACTGCGATCAAATAAATCAGATGTTAAACAATAGCGCTGTACTTGGTTTTCGGGCGTTCGAGTCTACATTTTTGCACAGTTGGAAACGCAAGTGCCATACAAGAACGTATGAAGACTACCCTCAAGTGGCTCTTTTTGGAACCCGATCCTGTCAAACCAAAGGAAGATAAAGGTGTCTTTTGGACAACGCACTCATCTCGGGTATTTACTGACTATTTCCACAACTGCCTAGCCAGAGTCAAATACAGTTAATGTAATGGTTAACGGCAGATCTGATTCCTGCTATATTTAGTTCTACATGAATAAATAATAAGTATTAGCTCTAGAAGACGTATAAATCTTTAAACAATGCATGGAAATCAAATTTGTGGTTATCCGAAAATCGACCCGCGGGGTACAACTTTTTTGCTGTGTACCAGTAATGCTCTGTTCTTAATCGTAAAACTCAGGATTATTAGACAGTTGCTTAGTCGCAGATACAAACGCACACGCTGTTTAACCATACAGCACACTCAACATAGGGCTGCATCGTGTAGCCCAGATTAATCATAAGTTTCCTTGTCGGTTATCTAGTAAAAAAATGTATAGTACCAGATTGCCTGAAGTTGTTCTAATTGCAACCTACTTGATATTAAATAGTGGCGTCTAAATAAAGGTCTCGAGCTTTACGTCCCGCACTGCGTCTCACGCATTGATTCAGGATGCTGACTCTCAACACGGAGCCCAGTATGTTTTGAATTTAGATTACCATGAGTCGTTAAGTTTAGTGGACACGTGATCACTGTATATTCATGGGGACACCAACTGACCCCTAGAAATAGTCGACAAAACCCAAAAAAAGTGCGATACAGGTTCATCTCAAGTCGACGGGCGACTTTGTGACAAGAAAGAAAAGCACTGTTTAGAAAGAAAGCGCTATTTCGAAATGAGAAAAGTCATAATCATATTTGTCCTGTCATTATATCTCTGGTAGACTATTAAAGTGTCTTATTGGGCTTAATAACACCGTGAATATTATCAACATAACTGTATTATCTTTTACGTTGTTACAATTTTTTGTAAAATGTAATAAACTTAAAAGGCATCTGCTAACAAACAGCTGTAAAATGTATTAAATGCACCAATACTACACTCTCTGCTGCTTAGGAGTTTGAAAATTGTTGGTCGGTCACAAGTCACATTTTTTTTCTGTAACTTACTTTTTTATATAGCCTTATTTGTTGTTTATTTCCGGGATACTTCTGAGCGGAAAGGACGTCCGAAAACTCTCTTACCTCTGTATCTGTGGTTACAATATTGTGCTGTGAGTGCGATTTCAACATGAAAGAACTCCTCAAATATGGACAGCGCGGAACATTTGCTTTAAGTACTTGGCAAAATTCGTTTGCCAAAGTTGAAAACGATATCTGGAGCCCAGAAAATGCTGCCGCTCTGGCAGATCGACTGAGTTTGATGGCAACCATGCGAAGACCCGACAAATATCTCGGGAACTGGCAAAAGAAACTCTTGGAAACCCGTTACCTTCGGTGTACACCATTTACTGGGAAAGATGGCAGAAGGACGTGAAGAATTACGGGGTGTACATAACGTAGTAATGTATTGTCACAGGAATAAAAAATACAGCGTTTTCTAAGTTTACTTAGTAAAGAAAGAACTTTTTTTCGAGCCTAACAGATTCAGCTGTGGAATGACCTTAGTTTTTGTTGTATATTCGCTATATTTGCCTTAACCTACACCGGTTGTTATAACAAATAAAAGGTTTACTCTACTACTTTATAAAAGTGATATCAAAAGGGAATGGGACAAAAATGTTTTAGGTCTGATAGTGCTGTTAAGCATTTTTTCAGACGAATGGTTTATCAGCGCGAATCAAGTTTTGATCACACCAGTCTAGACCACCTCACCTCTTATTTTAATAGACACACACTTTGCGATGCATTGTCAGAGGTGGCGTGATAACAAATGCTATTAACAGTATTCCTGTCACCACCTGGGGACAGCTAAATGGGGGAGCTAAATCTATGTGGACTTATAAAAAATGCTTTCATTTACTCACAGAAAAAGTTGAACTATTATTGCATTCAAATTTTGATAGACGTTTGCTCCGCCACGCCACCTGCTTTTTAAACATCAGACTGCCGCCATTATTTAGGTATGGTATTTAGGTATTTTTTTAATAATGGCTGACTGTCTATATACTAAGTGTCATAGTCGCTTGACTGCCAAAGCACAGTGGCAAAAATAAGAATAAGTTTAAACTTCCTGTTCTTGTTTGAAGCATCTCCTTCTGCTGTTCCATAGCAGTATGCATTGGTTTTAATAACGCTACAACTATACAGAACTATGATATGCTATGCTACCGCTACCTCTTTAGTAAGAGGGAGACGCGTGGGGCGATACCTTATTATAAATCTAGCTATTCAGCTGTTGAGTAGCATACCTGACACGGTGGCCTTCGCGTAATACTATTAAAAGGGCTTCAAAGACCTGCCCGTGGCGTATGGCTGGTTGTCACACGCGGTGTCCTAACATAGTATATGTGATTGCAAGTTTTGTAATAATTTTTGGTTTAAGTACCCTTTTCAAAAGGATACAATTTTTGGATAAGTGCATCAAGACAGTTGATTTAAAAAAAAGATTTAAATTAAAAATATATATATATATATATCGGGGAAAGGTAGTCGCGTGAATTAATGTGTTGCGCTGTGACTGATTTTAATTACACAGAACTGCAGTTAACTGGAAATGCAAAATATCTCATTAAGATAATGTCAGCCTACAAACTTTATGTGAACCAGAGCTAAGTACGACATCAAATGTTTTGCTATCGCATCGTAGCGATAAGGTATTAGACTTTTGCCACGAATTAGGTGCCGCCAATTATACTGTTGCGACGTATCTAAATAAGCCTATCAGTTATCAGGGATTCGCACGTGGTAGAATCTAAAAATCTATAAGAATTTATTTAAGTGCAATTAGATAATAACGATTTTCTATAGCCTAACGGGTGGCTAAATTATGTGAACTAATGTTAGCCGATCAACTATTTACTTCTTCTAAAAATACATGTTCAAGCTACGAAGTAAATAGGTCTTCTCATTGAATTTGGTGGTCTACGGTATGAAAGGACTTTCATGGTTTGACGGCATTTTTGAAAATGGCCTATTCATAGTTATCAGAGATAACAAACGTTTGATATTTTTTGTTCTTTACTGTACAAATAGTGTATTTTAACGATGCATGTTCTGTCTTTATATGTTTTCTCAAGAAGACATATCCAGATAGTCGTGCGCTCCCATTACCTCACTCTACGAAATGCGTCTGCACCTAAGCAGATACAAAAAGCAAATCTCGTGAATCACCTTTTTGTGCTACACCAAATCATTTGCGATGCCGGAATGCTACTCACACCAACGCAATAGCTCGATCCGAATTTATAAATTATATCTACACAAGGAGGATATTTAAATGAATGCATGATAACAACGCTCCTGTCAATTCAATATCAACTGAGATGCATTTAAATTCTGGAACTTCCAATGCACGTTGTGTGTACTTTTGTGTCTAACTTATAGTGATCAGGTCGGCACGCAGGCACAGGTCGTATCTACAGCGACCTACCACTTGTGTAACATAAGCTATACAAACAATAAAATCGAAAACTAAAGTTAGGATTAAATTTCTTTCTGACTCAACCGACTAGCTAACCGTATACATTTCTGTTCACTTATCACCCCTTTCAACGAAAGTAAAGAAGCAAATACGTGCCTCGAATTGATGTGTCAAGCGTTTATTTAACATTCTATTATCGCACGATGGCTGACGATATGCCATATCAAATAATGGATCATATATTAAATAATCAGATAGTATTTGTTGTGCTTTTTTAGCGATGTCTGGCAACGAGCTTGCAAATAGAAGATTCCTGGACTTGGCAGATTCTTCTCAATGGATTAGCGTTCTTATAGAGATACTAGGTCCCTATGCACTTTCTCAAGGATGATCTTGCTGTCAACGTGACTTGGAAATACTTCCAAAGCCATTTTTGAATAGTTGTAAGCGCCTAAACAGTCTCCCACCTACATAACACGACGCAAGCAGACAAGTAGCTAACTGTTATTCCAAGCCAATAAGAAAACGGAAAATATTAATTAAAAAAAAGCGTTGGGTTTTGCGTACGATGGGATAAAAGAAAAAAATATGCCCATATATTCTGTTTGAAATTCCTATTCAACAGGAGATCCTTCATAGGTAAAGTTCACATAGGAGCCTTATTGATAGCTACGTGGCATCAATGCACATCAGTGACACGTTCAGGCTTATTGCAGTTGAAAACAAGTCACGGCATACAACTGTGGGAACTGCTTTACACCAGTAAAGAGGCATGGAATTAAATTCATGCTTACAAATTTACAAATTGACTGATTTTCAACACAGTACTAGAGCATTACTAATCGGCGAAACTAACCATATATGAAAGCAAAGCGAGGTTGTAGCGGGGCTCAAAGAGGTGTTTGGCAAGCCGCTCTGAAGCGTCGAAGTGGATCCGCGCCTGGTCCGAAAGGAGCACCCCGAGATTGTTATGGCTCTCTGCATGATCGTTATTATGCGCGATTGCAAGTCGCAAGCATTGGATAGCAAGATTTTTATCACCCGAGTTCTGGAACCAAGGAAAAAGTCACATCTGAATTGCCGACCGGCTGGTCCCTGCTTTTTGGCTACATATGTTTCCGAACGTCGTTGGTCAGATAGGTAGCTGCAAAAATAGAATAATTTGCGCGTATAGATAAAGTACAGTATATGGAAAATTAATTTATTCTATTTTTGATCAGTCCTAACTCGGGTGGGTGCAGTTATAAATATGCTAAGTACAAATTATTAGTATGCCTTGCGACAAAATGTAACCGGTCGACGCTGATGTTGGTCTTGCAACGTACGATGGCGATATGTGACATGTTGTACCAGACTTCGGCTGTTGTTCCGTCGTTCCGGGATAGTTGAAGCGCTCTCTCGACACAGGTGATTGACAGGTCGAATTGTTGGGCATAAAAACAGCATAATGCGATATTGTTGTATACCTGTTGCCCACATCACAAGCGCGCATTAATTAGATGCTGCAATATAGATATTGTATGATGGACAAATAACTAAAAAAGTAGATTCGTGTAGGTCAGGTACATAAATTATAGAAACTGGAAGATAGTACATTAAATCAAGCGAATTATCACGTACATCATAAAAGACTGCATAAAACTTTCTGCCATATTAGGTTGGATAAGCCTGTGTGTTTTTAGGTCCGCCAATCTAAAAAAGGACTGGGTGATTTAAATATTTTTTTTATAACTTTACTTAGTCTATCGAGAGAACTCTATGGTAAAGAGGACTTCGGAGAAAGTAGATGTTATTCAAGATGAATACATTATATTTGCGATGGAATTATTTTTAAATTATTAATTTTTTGCATAACTTGGGAAGTACAAAAGCTGTGCACTTAATCGTTAGCTAGTTCATTTTCAGTAACCACGCTTCACATGCTTATGGGGGGGGGGGGGGGAATGCTATTCATGTTAAAACGTTGGAGTAAATACTGGAGTTTTTGATAGTTTGCAAGTATCAGTGATGCTAAACGTTGTGTGTCTTAGAATTGAGATTAAGCGGACGTAGATTAATAGAGCTGGCAAAAGAAAAGTTCAATAGACTGACTAGTAACGCAAATATATATATATATATATATATATAAACGCAAATAACGCAAAGATGGCGTCACGCGTGCGTGCACCTATTCTATTTTATTTTTTATCTAATCTATGAAAAATCTATACCTTGTTCTTTTTCATCTGCAGTGCTTTTGATAGAATGTGGCGGTACCTGTCTAGTATTGAGCTAACAATAAAGCGCATGTCTATGTTTAGTTTTACTGAAACGCTTTCGTGTCCCTATGAGTGTTTACCAATTTTCCTAGCCAAAAAAAAGTGACAGAGAAAATCTATGGTAACAGTAAATTATTTAACAAGATTTTGGGCAGACATTCTTGTGTTGTCCTGTTGTGTTAAGATCAATTTCTTCAACTGAAAAATGTTTGCTAAAATAAACGTTTTGAGTCTTTGCGTCCGGTACGATCTTTAGGCATTATCCAACATGGTTGGCCTCTTTCTGCATGTGACGACGTTTAACCATTGATCTATTATTATTAGATCTTACCTCGGCCGTGTGCAACCCCATCTGAAGAAGCCTTCTGTAAAAACGTAATCCCACTTCCGGCTGATCTGAGTAAAAATGATTCGTAGCGATACTGGCAATCGCTTCGACCGATACTGAGTCGTAACTAGAAACAATAGGCAATGTGGTAAAGGTACCGCCGCATTATTATGTTATTTACTTTCAGATATAAGCTGTTATGCTCGCCAATGGTGTAAACTGCGCTTTGACTGCCTCCTACTATTCTACAGCGGAATAAAATGTATATTATAAGTTCAAGTTGAATGTGTTTTCATTTTCATAACTACTTCCCTCTAGCTATAACTCATTCTCGTAAGTGTTAACTACAAAGGTTTTCAGTAGCGGCTGGCGAAGTATAACTGCAAATTAATTTGGTGTCAGATGATCTTTTCTTTTCTATCATACCAACCTGAGAACATCCTTGTAAAATTTAACTGATGCACTCAAGTCGTTGAGACCTTCATGGATGCGGGCGGTAGCTGTTAGTAAGAAGGTGTCATTTGGGAAGATCTCAAGGGATGTTCTGTAATACCAGAACATACAGATAGATCATTAGCAAGGACCGCAATTTGCAGAAGTATTAACTAAACAAAAATGTACACTAATCGTTCTCGGGATGAGCTCCTTTATTTGTGAGAGTTTTTGTTACTCTTTACTATGTGTACTGTATGCTCTGTTGAAAAACCATTATAAATCCCCGAATTTGTGTAGAATCTACCTGTAAAGTTCAAGCGCTGCCAAAGGCTGATCCAGGCGTATGAAGAGTTTACCGAGCCACAATGCTGTTTCAACCATGGGCTGCTGTGTATTTGCACAACGAAACTGTTTTTCGGCATCCCTGTTTAGAATACGAAATATATGACTGAATGAGTAAATGTAAATTAGATGAGGTGCTTTTCCATTTCGAGTGTCAACAATATATAACGCATAGGTTGCATGCATTACACGCATAGGTAGGCGTTCTTTGGAAAAGTACCTATAAGTAGTATAAGAAAAAGTACCTTCAGATATTCAATTGATAATTGAATATCTGCGCGTACATCAAACTACGACAAACCCAAAGTACGGTATAATGGACCAGGAGACAGCAATTATAATATGGTTCTATTTAAAATCGTCCACATATTGAAATGAAAACCTACGTGCGACATAATAAAAGGCAAGTAAACGTCTATGCTACGCCTCTCAGCCTGGTCAAGACTATATGATAGTCTTCCTACGACTTTCAGCATGAAGCGAAACGCATGCATCGTAACTACGGGACATTTTACTGTGTGTCAACTGCGCCCTTACTTGGCGCACGATCCTGTGATTAGAAGAATGCCTGCTAATCATCCTTACACAAATCAGCTTTATAGCCATGAATAGCGCTAGACCTTATACTACAAGGACGACCAAGGTACCTTTCTACTAGTTTGATACACTCCGTTTCAATACGATACAGGGACCCAGTTAATAGAACAGAAACAAAGCTTGTATTAACTATCGCAGTCATTTACTGCCTATGAGCATAAAATGTGCCTGTAGTATTGCGATGCATGTATTCTTGAGGAATGATGTCAGCGAATAATGAAATGACTTTAGTAGTTTATTATTATTATTATTATGTTTTAACTCACAAATGTTACCGAATGCTGAAATTTAGGTGAACATTTGAATATTCGATCTAATAAATAAATAAAATAAAGAGTGCCGTGAATGAAAAGAGGTTCAAAACAAAAATTCTGACGAATTTTAAGTGTTTTATGACGGTACAATTTGCAGCACTCGCTTTATTTCGAGCATTTTTTATGAAAATTGTGAATTAGGCCTCTTTCAGATGGTTCCAATGCTCTTATTCATTTCCTTAATCTAAATTGTTTGAACTTGCAGAGCTTTTCCTTAAGTGTCCTACGAGCCGTCTAGTGAAGGGCAACCTATTTTCCGCAATAGCGGCTCTCCAATAGTCAGTCCTTTGGATTTGCTTTTAGACAATTTCATTTGTTGTTGTTTTCGAAGGAATCGGTGGTCTTTAGAACGTACAGCTGTCGTCTTAGGACCTATACATAAAGCGAGTTTTAAGTTAAAAGTTTTTTCAATTCTGATGGTTTACGCTGCATAAACGTATACAGTTTTTACGTTGCTTGAATGTTTCGAAAGTCCCCGCTAAGCCACCGTCATATAGTCGGTTCTTAGGTAATCACAATTCGAAGTGTTCCATTTTTTAGAAAATAATTTTCAAAGCATTTAACAAGACACTGGTATATTGGATGTCAAATTACGTTTGAATTAATGAATGCAATTAGCTAGTTTTTTTTTTTGCCATTTACCCGGGGTTTACTATTTTTAAATAAATAACTGCACACTTTTGCGGTGAATCCGTTTTTGGTGATTGATTCCATGAGTTAATGAATTATAAAAATTACAATTCGAAGACGTGTATTCTACCTATAGAAAGTTTAAGAGACCTGTTTTCGTGCTAACGTATAATGGCACTTCGGAGTGTAGCCAAATTTGCCTTCGGTGATGATTACGCTGAAATGCAACGTCCCTCTTTCAAATTTGTTCGAGCTCCTGCGCTGCCTATTTATCTGGGATGTCCTCTAGTCGAAGTGTCATAGATGTATCAAGTGTTCGACGTCCAAAAACAACTGACCTTGCCGAACATCAGTTCTTTTTGGACGTATCTGTCTAGCTTTCATCATCATATTCTATCATACACATACACCTGAGTTAACGTAGTAGTATACAGACAGGATATATTACACAAAAACTAGTAAAGAAGTAAGAAATCAGCTAGAAGAAGAACGTTTTGAGCTTTAGGTCGATATTTTAAAGGATTAGAGTGAATACAATTCTCTTAAGTTACTGCGAGAAGCGTCTTCTTGTTAAATTGTCGGCACGCTGACACGACAGCTTACCGTTCGACAAATTTAATCAACACCGTTTAAACCAATTTTATGCAGTTCAAGTTACGCAGTAGCAGTGAACAAACGTAAAAAGCTCAATTTTATGCAGTCCAGCGAGAATTATTAAGCCGTGAGGCAATCTCTTCCAGCTCTTATTGTATACTTACAAGAAATCGTTTAATTGTATTGTGAAGTCCCATCATACAAGCATCAAAGGCAAATCGTGTTTACAAGTATTAAAAATTGTAATAAAAATAATCATAATATAAGGTTATTTATAAAAACAATATGGGATGCGTCAAAATAAGTAATACGCTATTTATTCGCTAGAGTGTGTCGTGCTTTCAAAGCTATTGGTGGTCTTAAGAAAAAACCTACTGAGATAAAGCATCTAATATTTTCCAGTTTATTCAATGGTTTTATAAAATAAGTCACTGTATAAAGATCATCATCCAATATCCAGCAATATCTCAGTATAACTATACATAGGTCAAATTTTCGTTATAAAAAATGTTTGTGATGGAATAAAGCTCGCGCAAATCATCGTTGATAAATGACGTTCGACATACACCTGGCATGTCATGTTCATATTGTTATACGGCATTTCGTAGAAGTTTAGCATTCTCATGTGAGTCACTTTTAGACGTCGTACAGCTGGATCTCAGTAAGTAACAAAGGATGTCTATGCCCGCATTGGAACCTAGACCACAATGTATCCGAAAAATTAGCAGACGAATACGCGATCCACCAGGCCTTGTGACTCTAGCCGCCCGCCACTGCCTGATCGGAGATTTGGAGTAGCATCATTAAAATTGACGGTAACCAAACACACGGTTGTTAAATGAAGCTTTTGCTATAAAAATCATTGATTTCTTATGTATTCTTTTTTCATCTAAAAGTACTATTCATGACAAAGCTTGTCAAAATGTTAAGGGTAGAACGTTTTTCTGCTAGGTGTATTGCGCTTTTATTTGTTAATGTTCTGATTAGGTTTTGTAATACAATGAAGCTGCCATAATTAAGGATGGTATCTGGAGGGGGCTAAGAGTCATTCAGACGGCATGATAGAGTTAACACTCTATGTCGATCTTGTAATCGGCTTTAACTCAGACAACATTCATAAGTTTCATAAGACGTGCAGGCTTGGTTTGTCTAAAAACCGCTAAGCTGACAACAATATCGGTACAGGTTACGAGGATCGATGCTGAAGGGTGATATATTAAATTTTACATTAAAAATTTTACCATAGGTTAGGCAACGCGCTTGCTCGCCAAATGGGTGGTAAGAGTTCATATATCACAGGTTATAGAAGCAGGAAACATTCTTTTGAATGTATTGAGTAGAGCTGGAAATATAGGCTTAAGTTGCGTCGTACAGATGCGTGTGAACAGGATCATAGAAACTGGCATAGAAATTGAAATGATAGATTCAAAAAATAAGCTAATTTTTTATGTTAAATCTACAAGTAAGAAACGTGTGCCAAACCGACATGTAGTATCAGTTTGCTGCGTCCTCCACCATTTGCTACACATACAAGTGAGTCAAACCACAATGTACTTGATAAGCTTCACAATGACCGTTCTTTCAATACTGTGGTAGTTATTATTTTGTTAAAACGGTCGTTACTATTCACTGTTTTACAACTCTCATTTATTTAATTTGTGAAAATTTGCATTTTCAGATACAGCACAGAACATTGACGATTCATAGAGCCTTAATATTCGTACATTTGGTTAATTATGTTATAGATTATGCGAGGACTTCTGTAATCGTCATCATCTGATGCTAATCGTTTCCATCATTTTGATATGTAGCTAGGAAGCTAGAAATATCGGTAGGTAGATCATTTTGGTCTCTTCTTTGACAGTAAATCTCGGTTATTGGTCCTTCTGACTAGTCCTTTTCACGCTCGCTATCATTACCCTACGATCTGGTTTGTGCTATTCTGCACGTCGATTCCAATTAAACCGATTATTTCTTTATGGACGCCGGCCTAATTTGGCATTAGAGGGTAGATCCGGCGCCCAAATAAGAGCTAAACAGGTTTCATCGGTAATTGCTTACTAAATCGGAGAGCCTATAAAATAGCACATAGTTTATTCTCATATCGCAATTCCGAAATAATTTTCGCTTTTGAATAGCCACTTATCAGTGTAATCCAAACGTTGATTGTAAACAGCCAGAAGTTATTTTTTGCAGAAGTTCTGTTTTGGGGTCCTGTATATTGGCTGGCTCTCCAGTGACAACATAACGTTAGATCACTCTACATCAATCTTGTGGTGGAAACAAAGGGATTGTCTGTCATAAAGCAACTCAAAGAAAAATATCCTGGTGGTTGATAAATGAGACGACCAAGTATATTATATTCGGTTGGTATTTCAAGCGAGAAAGTCATCCACCATTGGGCAGATAAAGCTAGTTTTTGTCTTGTACCCGACCTACTATACTAGACACAATGTGCGTATTTGACGACCATACTATGGACTACTCACAGCAATCGAAAATAGATATCTTTTTAAAAATAAAAAAAAAAAAATAAAAAAAAAAGTTGTTTTAAATTGTCTTTCAGTCACCGTTTGGCAATCGTTTCTTTGTTGATACATATTGCCGTTCCGTGACAGTTCTCCATTTGTGGTTCTTTGAAACCTTTATATATCGTACCTACGGATCATGATAAATGTGATCTGAAATATAAAGCCGGTCCACAAAAAATTAACGCGATATTCCACTGGGTCTCCAAATTCGTATTGAACTTTGAATCGGTTTACATCTTGGTGCCACAAACAAAACGGGATGAAAAAAGCGTTTCGTCGTTCACTATCCTTACAGGGATGTCATCCGAGTTGGTCGAGTCAATAGCATGTTTCAGTTAAATTACATAATATCCCAAAATAAGGATTTCAAGGGTGTGTTTAAGGTAGGTTTTAGGATTTTGTTTCTGGAAAGAGCTAAATGCGGTCCAAACTTGCGGAAAAAATCGTGAACTACGTAAATTCAACACTGCATGAACTAGAAGTTGTTCGCTCGTTTTCGAAGTGGTAATTGCAGGATCGAACATAACGCATACGCAGGTCGGCCCTTAACTAGTAAAACGCTGAAATTCTTATGTATTCAATTAGAACCCATTGATAAGCCTTCAACAGATAGCAGAAAACGCAGGAACATTCAAATCGACCGTTTAAAGATATCTACCAATTTAGTTATTAATCTAGCATTTGCAAACCTAGTTAATCGAGCAGACGTTTTAGGTTCCTCAGGATCACTAACTGGGAGACCGTAGGCGGAACATTTTTTCAAAACATTTTTTACTACAAGGGTAGTCGCGAGTGACAAAATATGAATTATGTATTTGAGCAAATCATGGTCAAGACCTGTTCAACGAAGGCAAAGCTGTGCATTTAGTGGGATTGGAAAAAGGTATTCTTCTATGAGCTTTCCTTAAACAGCAAAATCGTTACTTAAGTTAAGAATTATTTAAAGTCATTAAGGCAATGAATCCGAACAGCACGCGATAAACAGGAGGTCATGTGTATAGGTGTTTATTTTCGATATTTTTTCAGTCTGTAAGTTCGGGCTAGCTCCTTGCCATTATCATCTTTTGTGGTGCTTGCATAACCCCTTTGATGCGGAAACTTTTGTAAATTTTGTTTTTGGAAATCTTTGTAAGGTGTAAAAAACATATAGACTAGTTTACCGCACTTAAAAACACTAACTTTTGTAAAAATTAAATTTAAAAGGTACTTGAAACATGAGTTAAGTTTATCGCCGATAGTGGCTAATACTTCACTGACTGAAGCAGACAAAAAATTGTTTTAATTTAATGTTAAGTAAAGCTCCAATGCAAACTTATCGGATCAGCTAATAGCTCGAAGAAACATGAAAACACCTGATCTCCTACTATATGCGCAATCTACGTGAAGCCTGGACAACTACTTTAATAAATGTTGGAGGGTAAATACCTAGATAGCTACTTGGATCGGAAGAACAGCTGCCTAAATTAGACGAGAAGATCAAGTCATTTTAAGGCGAAGATTCTGAACATACGTTGCAAGGCTTACCTTGAATATGCTAAATTATCCTGCGCAAAGCATTTATTCTTATGGCATTGTGTCTTGCACAGGGCTATCAATTTTAGCACACTATACATCAACAAAACGTCCTAATTAGCTATTTTAAACAGTAATAAAAATACACGGCACGACACCTAAATTAGTTTTTGTTTCTAAAACTGTATTTAAATAAAGCGGATTTTTTAATCAAATTATTTACATGTTTGTATATATATCTATATGCGATTACAGCTTCCAATCGGAACTTGCTATTCACTTTCAAATTATTTCTTCTTCGATCCAGAAATAATTTTTATAGCACCCGTACATCGAACTGGATTAGTAGTATCACCTGATGATTTGCTTGTCCTTTAAACCTAAAACCTATTAGGAATCTTCTGGCTTGCCTCACAGAATTCTTTTTCGGATGTTTTAGAAGCCGCGTGGCGAGCGGCAATGGCGTTTCATATAGAAAATCCTGTCCCGTTTATTAGATAATCATCAACAACCTATAATACCAATTGAATCAACAGTGTATGTTTAAAGAGCGCTTCTTGTTGCCTATCGCGCGATTCGTCGGAACTACCGTAAGTACGACGGGAGCCATCATGCCCCTGTTAATCCCTCCCATGTGACAGTAGCAAGGATGCAACTGTGATAAATAATCAGTTGTAGTCTTAATGCCTTGCGTACCATTTTACAGTGAAAATGAGAATTACTGATTCCAGCTCACTAGAAGGATATCTGACATTATTTTCACATCGAACGCTGCTACTTCCAGCAACAACCACCGTTTAGTTCGTTTAATTACGTATTTAATAGTTCGTAGTTTAATTACGATATTTTGTCACCATAGATAGATCAGTATGCGCATAAGAATATATATATTGCTGCTGTTAAGTGTACCAGCAGCGCCTATATGAGTTAAGTCCTACTATATATACCTGAACATAGATAACCGATAGTAACATTTGCCCATTTGGAGTTTCCACCACCAATCCTGGAACTTCGAGTTTTGTGTGGCCTGAGTAGCTAACTCGAGTCCATGACGAACCTTCGAAAAATTAGAAAGTATTAGCATTACAACAGCGTATTTCACTGAATTTTTGTGGCGCGAAACTTTGAACGCTTCAACTGATCCGAACATAGAAATTCCAAATGGAACGTGTTAGCACCAACTGAATGGGTTCGTTACTTATCCTCGACTAAGACCGGTGCTTTTCAATACAATCAAAAGTTCGATTACGGATATTTCAACCATTATTAAGAAAAAAATCAATTGTTGCTGTGGATAGATTCTCAGGCCCATTCTAAAAGTGCTACTAACCTCATTTTCGTGATAATATATATAGTTGAAAAGAGCTTTAGCCAAAGCAGGTTGTTGGCTATATTTGGAGATGTTGAGGCGAGCCACGTTGATAAACGGCTCACCAGTTTCGCTTAACATCGACGCCTGAAGTGAAGCACAACAGTATATAAATTAGGCTATCCTTAAGCTGTTCTGAATACTCGAGTAAGTAGTTGAAAAAGGTCTCACAAATCTGTGTAGCTATTGGGTTCGCTAGGAGCGTACAGAGGATTTCGCCTTTCTTGTCCCCTGTTGGTAAATAGAAAAGGGCTGACAATTAGCCAAGCGGAAAGCACGGCAGCGTGTATGGTCTGCAATGACGGAAAGCTACAATTTAGAGTAACGTCCGTCTTTCGTAAAAGCGTATTATCGAAATGAAGAGTCCATCACAGTAGGACTCCGGTGAGCCTGCCATGCTGATGGCTATATAAGTCAACATTACCGTCGCCTCTGGAGCCCAGAAAACCAACAATAACTGTCGAACACCCACTTCACTCACAAAAAGTCACTATGTGGTACAGCCTGTGGAGTGAAAGTTTGATGGGACGTTTATTATTGAAAAGAAAGGAGGAAATCACGATAGAAATCAATAGTAAGCTCTGTCGTGAGAAGCTGCGAACCTTTCTGTGGGCCAAAAGGAGGACGCTGGATGCAAATAATTTATGGCTTCAACAAGGTAGGACAATTTACCATACAGCGCAAAACGTAATCAACCTTTTTCGAAACTGTGTTAGCAAGCCGGTCGAGAATCAAAAAACAGGACCGCGCGGCTGCGCAGGTCCTGTTTTTTGGTTCTGGATTTTTTCCTGCGAGGCTACGTGAAAGACAGAGTCTATCAAACAACTCCAAAAACAAATACCAAATTTGTGCAGTAATTAGTGGAACTGATGTTAACCTATGGAGAGATGTTCCAAATTATGCAAAAGATATCGAGTTATGCAAGCGGTCCTTCGGAACACATCTGGTTTCCGTGTGTAGTGCCCCCTAAGCTGCTGTAACGTCACAATTAGGATACGCATCTGTTTTTCATTCCGGGGACGTTGAAACCACCCGAACACCTTTAACGCATCCTGTATGTTCGTAAAACAAAGGAACAGGGAAAAAAAACGTACTGCATTCGAACTGCACTTAATTCGGCGATTTCTGCGCGCAAACTATTTATCTTGTATTTTTCTTGAGCAAACTCGTTCTTACCGTGCCCATCCGAACGTATCGTCCTGAGGATGAAGTAACTGGACGAGCGGACATCGCAGTCCTTGCAGTTTTGAGTGCCGCGTCAATTGATCCAACGGCCCCTTCGGCTCCTGACCGGACCATACCCGTGATTGGCCTACCTGATTGACTCATAGGTCTGCAGCACGTTTAAGAACGCAGTCCAACGGCTTTAGGGATCACTGTGCTTAAAAATCTTACAAAAACTATTATATATATA